GGGCTTGAATTGTTTGTTTTCGGCTACTATTTATGAGGCTGTGGTGGGCTCAGGTAATTGTAACTCCTGATGCGAGTAGTACAGAGGTGTTTAGGAGGGGTACTTCTAGGGGATTTAAAGGGGTAATACCTGTTGGTGGTCAGTGGCCCCCTAAGTGAGGTGTTGGGGCGAGGCTTGAGTGGTAAAATGCTCAGAAGAAGCCAATGAAGAAGAAGACTTCTGAGATGATAAATAATGCTATTCCATACCGAAGGCTTTTTTGGACAGATGTTGTGTGGTGGCCTTGATAGGTGCTTTCTCGTACAATGTCACGTCATCATTGATATAAGGTTAGTGTGTTGGTTAGTAGACCTAATATCAACAGGGTGGTGGAGTAAAAGTGAAATCATATGATTAAGCCGGATGTTATCAGGAGAGCTGATAGGGCCCCTGCTAGTGGTCAGGGGCTGGGTTTAACTATGTGATAGGGATGGAGTTGGTGGGTCATTAGGTGTTGTTGTGTAGATAAAGACTAACTAGGAGTGTAAAGACGTAGGCTTGAATTAGGGCAACTGCAATTTCTAGAACAGTTAATAGTATTAGGAGCGTGGAGGTTAGTAAGGTAGCAGAGAAGCTAATGGTTGATAGTACTAATACAGCGCTTCCAATCAGGTGTATTAGTAGGTGGCCAGCCGTGATATTGGCGGTTAGTCGTACAGCTAGGGCTACTGGTTGAATAAGTAGGCTGATAGTTTCGATTATCACTAGTATGGGAATGAGTAATGTGGGCGTACCTTGTGGTAGAAGATGAGCTAGAGAATTTTTGGTTTTGAAGCGAAGTCCTATGATTACTGTGCCTGCTCATAGAGGAATTGCTATAGCTAGGTTTATAGAAAGTTGGGTAGTTGGTGTAAATGAGTGGGGTAGAAGTCCTAGGAGATTAGTTATGGTAATAAAGGTGATTAGAGATATTAGTATTAGAGATCAGGTTTGTCCTTTAGCATTATGAACTATTATTATTTGTTTTAGGGTGAGTTGAGTTAGGTTTTGTTGGATGGTGGTTAGTCAATTATTAATGAGATATTTGGAGGTTGGAATTAGTAGTATGGGGAATAGGATGATAGGAATTGTAGCAGGTTGGCCTAGCATTATTGGAGTTGAGAACGGGGTAAACAGATTTTCATTCATTTTGGTTGTCAGTGGTTATTGTGGATTTGTAGGTTGGAGTTTTTTGTAAGGGGGGGTTGGTAGTAATTTGTGTTTAGCAGTTTTAATTGTATAATAAGATATAGTGTAAGAAGTATAGTTATGATAGTAGTGAATCATGTTGATGTATCTAATTGGGGCATTTCACTGCAGAAGGTATGCCCCTCAATCTTTAACTTAAAAGGTTAATGCTAGGATAGCTGTACAGTGGGTTTGTAAAGTATTTTTAGAAATTTGTAAAGTGGGAGTACGGGGGGAGGGGGGAAGAAAGAGGGCTGTTTATAGGGTGAATACAGGTCCTATTTCAAAGATTTTTAGCGGGATTAATTCTGCGACGATTGGTATGAAGCTGTGGTTTGCGCCACAGATTTCTGAGCATTGTCCGTAGTAGACGCCTGGTCGTGTGGCGGTGAATACAGTTTGGTTTAGGCACCCAGGCACTGCATCTGTTTTTAGGCCTAGTGTAGGGATGGTTCATGAATGTAAGACATCTTGAGATGTGATTATTATACGGACGGGGGCTTCAATTGGGAGTACTACTCGATTGTCAACTTCTAGAAGTCGAAGGTCTCCTGGGTTTAAGAATAATGGGGGTAACATATAAGAGTTAAAGATTAGGCCCCCATAGTCCGTGTACTCATAAGTTCAGTACCATTGGTGTCCGATTGATTTAATAGTAAAGGAGGGGTTGTTGACTTCGTCTGTTAGATACAGGATGCGCAGGGATGGAAGGGCGATCAGGACTAGGATAATTGTGGGTAAGATGGTTCAGATAATTTCTATTTCTTGGGCGTCTGTAATATTGGTGTTAGTTAAGTTTTGTCGTGAGTGTCGAGAACAGGGCGTATAAGACTAGGAGGCTAATTAAAGATATAGCTATAAAAGCATGGTCATGAAAAGTGATTAGTTCTTCTATAACAGGGGATGAGGCATCTTGTAGGCCTAGTTGAACTGGGTAAGCCATGTAAGATATATAGGGTTTGACCTGTAATTTAGCTTTGACAAAGCTATGAAATAGTTTTTCTAATATCTTGGTGAAAAAGTTATAGGGGCTATAGGATTGGCTTGAAACCAGTTTTAGGGGATTCGACTCTCTCCTTTTTCATTTAGTTTAATATAGGTTGGTTCTTCAAATGTGTGGTAAGGTGGAGGGCAGCCATTTAATCATTCTAGGCTAGTGGAGGGTTGTTCGATTAGTAGTACTTTACGTTTTGAGGCAAAGGCTTCTCAGATCATATAGATTATTAAGATTACTGCTACTAGTGAGATAAAGGAGCCTATAGATGATAGGATATTTCATGTAGTGTAGGCATCGGGGTAGTCAGAATAGCGTCGGGGTATTCTGGACAGGCCAAGGAAGTGCTGTGGAAAGAAGGTTAAATTTACACCTACGAATATAATAATAAAATGGATTTTGGTGCAGGTTTGGAGTTCGAGACCAGCCTGACCAACATGGAGAAACCCTGTCTCTACTAAAAAAAATACAAAATTAGCGGGGCATGGTGGTGCATGCCTGTAATCCCAGCTACTTGGGAGGCTGAGGCAGGAGAATCGCTTGAGCTGAGGAAGCGGAGGTTGCTGTGAGCTGAGATTGCGCCATTGCACTCCAGCCTGAGCAACAAGAGTGAAACTCCGTCTCAAAAAAAAAAAAAAAAAAGTTTCTGTTCAACCTGCTGTAAGAGTTGGGCATTTTACATTCAAATCACCCCACACCTGGCAGAAAACTGTTTCCTTACAGTGGCCATTAACCCAAAGGAAGAACAGAAGAGTTGGAGGAAGCCGGTGTTCCTTCCTCATCTCTGCCATAGGGACAGTATCCTTGGGCTTTCACAAAAAGCCAATGTGAGCAGTGACTGTCTATCATCTTTTTGTAGGCACAGAAGTTATACTGTCGACTAGCAGAATCACCACAATTCCACCCAGCCCACTTAAAAGAAGGGTCAGAGTTTCTGGAAATCCTGGTCAGAAAGCAGAATGAATTTTTCCAGGAAAACATCTTAAGTACAGCTGAAGGTGAAACAGTAACTACCATACTCAAGAATCACCAGTAAAACCAGCATTCTCCGGTTGACCTAGGTGACAAAATATTTCTTTCAATTTTTGATTGAAAAGGATTCTAAATGATCTACAACACATTCATTTCTCAAATGCGAGTTACGTGTAAACCAAGGGTTATTTATGTATGTCAAATGTTTATTTCTATAAGGTATACTTTTTGAAACAATCTAGGTGACTTTGCCTATACTGTGCACAAGCTTTAGCATATTAACTAGTAGATTTTTAAGCCATAGTGATCACAAACCAATTAACCTGTTGAAATTTTGTAACACCCATTTCAGAAGGGTCGTTACAGAATTTTAGAATGCCAAGATAGGTCTACATCTTCAACTGATAACTACTTTAAAGAATAAAGCATCAGTTTTTTTCATTTTTCTCAACATGGGTCCTGTGTGTGCCTGTGAGATGGGCAATTCTGCAGTTGGGGAAGTGGCCTGATAATTACAGGGTGTTTAACATGTCTACTCTACAGTTATTAGGTATCGGGAGTACTGCCCTGTCTTCTCTCCCCACAAATGAAAAACTTACCACCACGTAATCTGGAATGTCACCCTACCCCCAAAGGGAAGTGGGGAAGTCAGTGACGTCTCCAGTTGAGAACTCAGTTAACCAATACAGAACTTTTTCCTACTGTGTGAGCTTTCACATACAAATAAGACAGAGTGCACTCAACCATGGAACATAACTTTGATTCTCATCATTTGTAACTAAAACTACTGTGTGCAGTAATAGTAATAGGAATAGTTTGAATGGTTTATCTACTAGACGGTTTAGTGTTCACTTCATTTTTTTTTTTTTAAGAGATGGGGTCTCACTATGTTGCTCAGGCTGGAATGCAGTGGCTACTCACAAGCACAATCATCACACCCTGAACCCTCAAAGATCCTCCTGCCTCAAGCCCCCAAGTAGCTGGGACTACAGGTATGCATCTCCACGCTCAAGTTCATTTATTTCTTAAAGGTAATTAAGACCTGAGTGTGGTTTATTCTGATGGTATGGAGACAGGATGGCTTTGATGTTATAGTATTGTTCACTGATCAACTTTTGATAATTTGAAATTCCTTAGTATGGAATTTTCACTATGGCAGAACAGATTGTTATATGCTTTAAAGTGAAGTTATGAATGGTTATACATTTGTTGGTTAAGTTTTTTGGGGGTAAGGGCAAGACACTGGTCTGCTACGCTACTAACCTGGAAAAAAGTTTCAAATAGCTGAAGAAATTTACATTAAAATGAAGCAAAATTACTCTTTGAGTCAAAGAGCAGCTTCAACTGTATTTTGAACTGGAATTTACCTATCATACTGAAGTACCTGATATTTGCTAATTTGGTTTTTTAAAATACTAAATACTAAAATATACAAGCGTAACTGGGTATGGCGGCTCCTGCCTGTAGTCACTGCTACTTGGGAGGCCGAGGTGCGAGGACTGCATGAGCCCAGGAGTTTGAGGTTACAGTGAGCCAGGCATTGTACCACTGCACTCCAGCTGGGGCAAGAGAAAGATCCCATCTCTTAAAACGAATACAATAAAATATACAAGTGTACCTAAAACACTATCCAAATATGTCTTCTGATTATGGAATCATGTAGAAAAGCATTACAGAAGAAATATAATCTATTCAGGCTTAACAAAGATTAAAAATAGTAACATTTCTCTACATCACAACAGCTTGATTCACCAAGAATATAGGGCTTATGTCATCTGAAAAGCTTAAAAGATTTTAAGTTGAAAGAAAATTCACATCTAAGGCTTACCTTTTGGGCATATTCATCACAGGTTGGTCCCACTGGAACTACCATTACCTGGCGAGGGGACAGCCAAAAGGGCCTTTGAAAGAGAATAAAAATACTCAGTGTGGATGTGGGCACATTCACTAAACAGGGACCTGGAACATGTAAGGACTACTTTTAAAACTTGGCTTAGAAAACCCCAAAATGAAAAAACCTGTCCAATAAAGATTAAGGCAAGGAGATGCAGGAGAAGAAAACTAACCCTACATAAGGAAAGTCTGTAACTACGATTTGTCTTGCTAAGCAGATAGCAAAACCAGTTGAGGATAGGACTACGCCTCATACTTTAATACATCACAAAACACTGTGAGAGGGGGTAACAAATTATTTAATAACTGCATGTAGTGATTAATTGTTCGAGTATTTTATTACTTATTCTTCATGGGGACACAGTGTCCTCAGTTTATTCAAAATCCATTTTGCACCACTCAGCAAATTGTAACTGATAATAACTGGTTATGGCACTTGGTAAAAATGAGAGTTTTCACTACTTATTAAAAAATAAGCCCATCCAATTCTCCTTTTGAAGCAATTCAAGTGTCAAATGCTTCTGATGCTGCAAACATCAGGCTAATGTTTCTCTCCATCATTCCTCTATTTTCAGTTGTTCTGTTCTATCAGGCAAACATCAGGCAAAAGGCTAAAGGAGGCACTAAATTCTACCCTAATCATGGACTTTTCCCCACCTACAACAAGTTTAGCAGAGCAATTAGCTGAGGACTCCCTTAATTCTTGAAGTACCTTATAGAGCATGTGTCTCACATTTTATCTGACTTTGAAAAATCTAAAGAGATAATTTTATATCATTGACCAGTATGAAAAACTGTTCTAATTTCTGAAGTAACCAAGTTCAAATAAAACTGAAATGACAGTAATGTAAGATTAAACCAATGTACATCATTCTACAAAAGTTTTAAATCAATATGATTAATATGGAAGGCTCTACACATGGGTGCTTTTATAACCCTGTGCTGCTTTCAAATGCATTGTGGGTCCAGAAAAAAACTGCTTAAGAAGTAAGATGAAAGTTATGTGGCCATGTATCTTGCCAACAAAAACGTAACCTCATAGAAATGAATCACAAAATGTTGATCAGTTTGGCATCTGTTTTAAAAAACGCTTGGCTTTTAAAAGATGTCAAAATACTTGCTTGTTATGATTAGCAAGGCTAAATGAAAAAAGCCATAAGCCTCCTCATTTATCTACGTAAAACCCAGCAAAGTCATCTAAATCCCAAAACAAAGTTACCAGAAAAGCATCCAAAACAGTAAGTATACTTCTTAACAGAATACTAATTCCTAATTAGAAAGTATTACACAACATTCAAACAAACCAAGTTCTGGAATTAATTACTACTAGCATAAAAAGTTTGTGTTTAGATTATGATTCCTTATTTTTTAGTGAACACTTGTCATTAGTTAGAAGCAACTGACTGCAATCATTCTCCCTTTCCATCTGATAATTAAATCAAAAAGTAGACATTTCTTGTAGCCAATTTATACTAATCAGAAAAAAAAAAAAAAAAGACAAAAATTACCATTTGCCCCCATAGTTTTCCGTGAGGATAGCAATCATTCTTTCCACTGACCCCAAGATGGCTCGATGAACAATCACTGGCCTTTTCTTATCATCACCATCGTGGCTACAAAGAAAAAGAATTTGTTTTGCCTTATCATATATATATATTTTCCCCTATATATCCCTGGAGAATATTCAGAGCAGACACCAGAAACTCACCTTACATAAGTAAGATTAAACCTGATGGGCAACTGAAAATCCAGCTGGATGGTCGCACACTGGTGGTACCGCCCAATCGCATCTTTAATCTGTATGTCAATCTAAGAGGCAAAGACTGGGTTATTATAAAATGCCAGTGATACTAACGTGGAGTTCAATAGTTGGAATAGGGCTGATTTTTCTTTTTCCCAACTTCTTTTGAAGCCATATCTTCTTCATCCACAAGTGAAAATCATATTATCCAAATATACTTCAGTGCTCACCTTTGGACCATAGAAAGCTCCGTCTCCAGAGTTTAACTCCCACTTTTCACCAAATTCATTCAGACTGTTTTCAAGTTGCTGAGGATAAAGCAAATTTTTTTTTTAATCGCAATTTCCCTTCTTCCAGCCTAATTTGAGACTAAAAATACAGTAATTACTTTCATAGATCAATATTCTCTGCTTTAGAATTTTGTCCACCTGAACATATGCTCACATCAACCCCTTTTTAAAGCTTATAGCTTGATAACTGAAAAAAGCCATTAAATTCAACCATTCCTAAAATACACAAAGAAAAAAAACTAGCTTACTCAATCCTAGGAACCATTTCCAATTTCCTTTTATCCATTTAAAGAGGCTTGGCTTTCTTACATCTCGGAACAAGCCAATTTCAAACAGTATTCAAAAGCATGCTTAAAAATACCACTTACTTTCTCAGCTTGGTCCCATACTTCAATATCTCCAAGGAATTTTTCCGGGCGAGTAGAAAGGTTCAGTTTAAAAGAAAATCCAAATACGCTATATACCGTACGTAGAAAATCCAAACAACCTTTTATTTCATCTTCAATCTTTAAAATAAAAAAAAAAGAAAAAAGAAACAGTAGTTATTTTCCTTGAGTTTCTTGACACTTCTTTCAAAATATTTTATTCCCCAGGGTCTCATACCTGCTCCATGGCACAGAATATGTGAGCATCATCCTGCTGGAATCTTCGTACCCGGGTGAGTCCTGTGAGTGCTCCAGACAGCTCATTTCTATGAAGTACCCCAAAATCAGCCAGCCGCAGAGGCAGTTCTCGCCAGGACCTTGGCCGATGATCAAACATAAGGCTGAAGAGAAAAAGAAAAGTCCACGGACACTTAAGAATAAAACTGCTTGTGTAATGTTATATTTAATTATATGAAATGTTGTCAAACAGCCACTGATTCTAGCTGTCCATCCAAGCAACATTTCTCAAATTCTGGGCTTCATACAGCAGTAAAAGCATCTGCATGAATAAAATAGCAAATAAGTTATAATTCAATGAACCACAGTGAAGAATAAAAAATGTATTCCAACAACTGAAGAATCTGGGAAAATTAAGAAGGAACTTAGTTGATTTCCTGGCCTATAATACAGCTTCTTCACAAAGATTCTTCTCTCACCTCCTCTGCCCTCCATGCCTGGCTAATAGTTGCTGCGGACACTGAGTTACCTGTATCCACAGCTCTCCTGTGTCTTCCCTTAAGCTGTTCTTCACCCAGCTTTCAAAGATAGAAAGCAGAGCGGCCTCATGACAAGGAACATTTTCCAAGAATGCTGAGTCATTAGCAGGTTTTGACAGAACAAGTTTCTTTAAAAACAACAACACACTAGATAATTTGTTACACCCCCATATTCCATCTTCCTCTTTTATATTCTGCCTTGGTCACTGCTGTGATCCCAGTACCATTACTGAATGCCCATAGATCTGGAGATCTGGTGGGACACAGTGGCTCATGCCTGTAATCCCAGAGCTTTGGGAAGCCAAGGTGGAAGGATAGCTTGAGGCCAGGAGTTTGAGACCAGGCTGAGCAACATAGCAAGACCTCATCTCTACAGAAATAAAATTTTAAAAATCAGTTGTGCATGGTGGCATATGCCTGCAGTCCCAGCACTCCAGTTGGAAGACCTCTTAAAGAAAAAAAAAATAGATCTGGGGATCTAATGAGGCACAGAAGATGTAATACAACAATGATGTTGCTTTTAAATGCTCTTCTGATCACATAATTTGTTTTTAATGAAAATGTTGTTAAAGGAGAGAAGAACCCAGGATGAATTGTAGCATGTGAAAATCTTCAGTAGAAATTCAAAGCTGCCAATTACCAGTGCCCTGGGCAGTTCATGGGTTTCAAAGCAAACAGCTCCTTCTCCACCTCAAAGGAGAACATGTTCTCGCTGTAGTGCTGCCAGTGACCCGAGGTCATCCAGAGTCGGCTGTTGAAAATGTTTGGGGTGACTACCTCCTGGAATCCTCTTTTCCTATATTCACTCTGATAGAAAATAAACAGAAACATGTGTAGGCAAATAAATGCTCATACTTCAAGTGGGAGTAAAAACTTAAAAGAGAGATTTTATACTCTCTCATGAGAAAGATGCACACATGCCATGATTGAGAAATCTCACTTCTAAGTATATACCGAAGAGAAAACTCTTGCCACATGTACATAAGGAGGCTTATAAAAGCAATGCTACTGCAGCATGGCTGATAATAAGGGACAATTATACATCAGCGTCCATCAGAAAAGGGTTGAGCACATTGTGGTAGTTACATAACAAAATAACATGTAGCACGTGAAAATAAACTGGATTTGTATGTCTCTAAAAATAAATCACAAGGCAGTCTGATACACAATGAGGCTTCCTATATGTAACACATAAATACATAAATAATTTAAGGGTACACATACACAGGCTAGATGTAAATAACATGGACAAAAAGAATCCATGCCAACTTCAAAACAGTAGTTTCTTCTACAAAGCTGGTATATGGTATACCAGTATATGGGTATATATAGCAGTATATGGAGGTATATGGATCAAAACTGGGTCCTAATGAGAGGCTTTTTAAACAACTATTTTTTTTTTAATATCGTGAACAAAATAAAAGCAAATATAGTTCAAAATGAATCTTTGTTAAATTTGGGTAGTAAGTACACAAGATATTGGATATACTATTCTCTATAAAGTTATACTTGAAACATTTCATAATTTACAAAGAAAAAAAGCAATGTAAAAACCGTTTTTTCAAAGAAAATAGAAATCAATGATCAAAGTCAAAGAGGGCACAGAGCTCCTGTGTCAAGGACCACGGGTGCCCCTTCAAGCTCACCAGCTTCCATATGCATATGAGCAAAATCAACTACTAGGGATGATTTATGAGGCCACAGACTTCTACTTTTACTGTTTTATATATTTCTTCTCAAATAGAGATTATCTTCCTTTTTAGTAGACCTTATTTAATAAAAATGATCATATACCCTAAATCTAAAGAAGAAAGCAATAAATATGACTTACCCTAATGAATTCAATAAGTGCATTATAAATGTAGGCTCCCTTTGGCAGAAAAAAGCAACTTCCAGGGCTGAGCTCATGGAAGAAATATAGTTCTTGGTCCTGGGTAAAAGAAAAGCAAAAGAATATTTATGTATGTCATGTATATGTGTGTGTATATATACATGAATTTCAGTGTTCTTGAGCTCAGAATACGGTCATGATGTCCCATATTTCAATCAGTGCCAACCCTGAATCAAAGAAACCATGTCAGTGTTTCTGGTGGTACAGAATTGCAGCTGATCTACAATTTGGCAGACGTGTAACACATGCCCTGCTTGTTATATTCCTCAATCCAGTCAAGTTTCCCCAACAGTGGCAGGGAGGAAGGGTCCCTCAGTTCTCTATCCACTGCAGTACCTCTTATGGTTCTTAATTCCTTAAAGCTCCAAGATCTGAAAGTTTTTTCATTTTATTTATTTATTTTCTTAATAGGAGTGTCAGGAAGGAGACTGGGATAATGAAATAGATGATGGTAAAGTTGGCTGACTTTGGGTCACGGTGAAAGAAACACACCCTCCTACCTCCTTGCCCAACATCCCCCTCACCAAGTGCCCAAAAGCCCTCAGGGAAGGGCCCACCAATCGTTGCTGGCTGCCTCATGGCTGGAATGTCAGGTAGTCAGGGGTGCAAGGCACTGGCTGCTAGCTTCAGCTCAAGCTTCATAACCTAACAGCCAAGGACTCCTGGCACAGAGTGCCTATTTTAGGGAGGAATGTTTTATCTAGCCTAACTTCCAGTTTAGAGGACATTCAGCAGTAACAGAGATAATGGGTAGAGGAAATGACAGCACAGGATCTATGTGTGACACGCTGTGTTACCTTGGGCAACAAGTAGGTTAATCTTTGTGGGACTCTGTTTCCACATTTTAAATGAGTCAGTGAGACTAGATAGTTTCCAAAGTCTAGTTCTCCCAGCTCTACGAGAAGCTGTTATTACTTCTTTTACAGAAAACTGTAGATCATCAGCGTTTGTTCTGAATAAAAGTAGTTCAAATGCATTTTTGTGTGGTACTGAGCCCACTCCAGGCAGATAATGTGGACAATCAGCAAGTATTTATAGTTCGTACAGGACATAGCACCAGTTACTAAAAAGCTACAGCATCTCTTCAAAACAAAATTCCTAGTACTTCATACAGCTAAATTTCAAACTTCAAATGAAGTTCAAAAAAACTCAGTCTAGACACATCATTGTTCTTGAACATACCCTGCCAATTTTCCTATGATCTCGGTTTTTAGCTTCCTCTTGGAACTTCTCCCACTCTTTCAACATTTTAGGATCTGGGAATGAAATGCCATAAATTCTCTGGAGAGTCTCCATATCTGCTTTGCCTTCCCAGTATGTGGAAGAATTCTGAAAACAAGGATTAACCATGAAACAACATTCAAATTTGTAAACATCTCACTTATTTTAACTCCCAATTGCTTTGAGGCCTTGTTAGAGTAGTTACTCATTCTGCAGCACAAAGTTGGCTGTTTACTTCCCTCGAAAATGCCCCTCCCTCAATCTGCAGGTGGGTGCAGTGGCTCACGCCTATAATCCCAGCACTCTGTGAAGCAGAGGCAGGAGGATCGCTTGAGCCCAGGTGTTCGAGACCAGCCTCAGCAACACAGGGAGACCCTGTTCTTTACAAAAAAAAAAAAAGGAAAATTACCCAGGCATGGTGGTATGCGCTTATGGTCGCAGCTACTCAGGAGGCTGAGGCGGGAGGACCGCTTGAGCCTGGAGTGCAGTGGCACAATCTCCGCTCACTGCAACCTCATTTCCCAGGCTCAAGTGGTCCTCCACTCTTTTTGGGGTAACACAGTGAGACCCATTCTACACCCCAACACCCCCAAAACTGCCCACCCCTCAATATTTAACCACAATTCCACAAACATTACTTTGCCTGCAAAGGCATTTCTCACAAAATGATTGAGCAAAAATAGAAATGAGCCAATAAAAAAAATCTTGAAATGACTCAATTATTCTCTTGATTTAAAGTGCATTTTAATAATCTCCACAAAATGTTTATGAAATAGTATAAAACTGGGTTCTGTTAAAAAGAACAACTTGGGAAATTATTAATTTAGACATACAAAGGGCAAAAGCACATACTCCTAGTGAGTCTCAAAGCTTTTATAGAGCCAGGATGGCCCATGCTGTATGATTTTGTAAAACCTCTATCCCCTGGGCTTGCTCTGGTAATGACAGCAAGTCAGTCACCCCTTGAGGGATTTCAATTATAAAAACCTGATGGCATACAGCTCCCAGTTAATAGACAGCATGAGAAAACACCATCGTTTCATGTGCAGCAGAAAATGGTAAAGAGAAATCAGTGAAAGTTTAAACACATATCTATTCTAGACAGATACACTCACATAGTCTTTAAAGTTACATTGCTTACTTTGTGTATTTTTAAAGCCTTAATTTTGCCCGTGTGTCTGACATGAGGACCCCGGCAGAGATCTATCAAAGGGCCACACCTAAACATAAAATGAAAGGAGTTTTAACAAACACAAAATGACATACATACCAGATACATTTAATGACATCTAATATTCTCACCTATAGACTGTGGTAGTTGGAGTATTCACCTTTTCATTCAATATCCGACATTTGAACTTGTTGTACTGAAAACAGGAAAAATTATTCTTTTAAAAGACTGTCCTTTAATTTTTACTTCTAAGTACTATAGGTAAAATGTAGCACTGTATGAATATAAATGTTGATATTTCATGTTTTAAAAACGTGTTGAAGGAATGGTTTGCTAGGGAAAAAAGTGAAATAAAAATAATAATAATGTTTTCTAAAGAACCAAATACGCTTCAGCTTAGTACACTGAACTCCAGTGCTGTCACTTCAACTAACATGAATAAATGATATTAACGGTGGGGGCCACACATTATGGTTCAATTTACCTTAAACATTGCCAGTAAAGTTTCTTTCTTAACTTCCAGTCTTTCAAAAGCTTGTTTTTCTTTAATGATTTTCTTACATAAAGACTCCAGAGAAGAGAAATCATTGCTAGACACACCCCTGAAGGAGAAGAAAGTATAATCTTTTCATTCCATTTGAATCACACCATGGCTTCAAAAAATGTTTATTTGGAAAAAATATTTGGAATACTTCAAGGGTTTTAATATCAAAAAATTAGACTATTGCATCATATCTTAGAATTCTAAACAAAACACTTTTCATAAGTAATTTTTACATTTTATATTTTCAGTGGCTTCTACCTTGGTCATCCATGGAGACCTTTCTCACTAGTGACCCCTTCCCACAACTCTATCACCAGGTTTTAAAGGAGAGGGGAGGACCAGTCTCCCTGAATTTCCCAAAACACCTTAGGACTCTACCTCCATCAATCTATAACAGAGGTCTCATTATTACTTCAAGGAAAATGCAACATTTCAAGTACTCATAATGGGCATATGTGATGAAGAAGCAGCGAGAGCTATAACATTTCTCCTTTACTGAGAACTCTAAAAATAACTTAGGGATCCATAGTCACTGACTTCAGTTTTCTTTATCTAGTTGACAGCTTACCCTTCCTCGAGGTACATGTCATAATAGAATCCATTTTCTATTGGCGGTCCATAACACAAACATCCACCATAGACTCTTTCCATGGCTTCACCCATTATGTGAGCACTGGAGTGCCAATACACCTGAAAATTTAAAGAAAAATGGCATGGTCTGAGTCTTGGCATACAAGTTGTCAATTAATGTGATTGTCTGAAAGAGACATAATATTTATTTTAAGTAAACCCAATATATAAAATCCTAAATTTCTAAATCTATAAACTACTGTGTGTTTCTATCCATAGCCAAAGTAATTCAAAAGGCTTCCAATTACTAAAGTGTATTTTTATTTTGGAAATCATCTGGTTTAGCTGTTTTCAAACAAATGAAACTAAACTTGCCATCACTAATTAAATAGCATTGATTTTGCTCTCTGAAAACAACTGCTCTCACAACGTGACTATCTCATTGACTGCAATGGCCCAGGTTCTAATGAGTCAATGTGCCCACAGCACCATGTCTCAGACACTGTGATCTGGTCTTTAGCTGGCTATGGAACATCACTTAGAAATTATATGTTGTTATTGGCCCAAAACAAAGGTGGTACAACCCGACCCCACAACACAACGACAAAACATGAGGACAAAATCTGTACACTGAAACCAAATGGCAGTACTTGGTTTTAAAGTAATCACTGGGATGAGTCAGAATACACCCAAAGCAATGTTTTCAAGATTTAGTATTAAGGTACCAAAGTGACATTAAAAAATTCTCATAAGAAACTTGAGGACTCCAAAATACATTTGAAAACCACTAATCCACATACATAAGTGAACAATCATCACTAAAACAAAATACTTTGTTTCCCCTTATATGATACACAGCCATGAAGAATTAAAAAGAAAATCTTGTCATCAAATGCAGGTTGACTTTTATAGTGTTATCCAGCAGATTTGCATCTTAAGACGAAAAAGATACAGAAAAAAATACAGAAATTGTCCAATAAAGGGAGTGCTTTGAAGTAGGTTCAAATTTATTTGTCAAATGTACGTATCTTGCTAAAGTGTTCATAGCTTAGAGGCCAGGCGCAGTGGCTCACACCTATAATCCCAGCACTTTGGGAGGCTGAGGTGGGTAGATCACTTGAGGTCAGGAGTTCGAGACCAGCCTGGCCAACATGGCAAAACCCCATCTTTAGTAAAAATACAAAAATTAGCCAAGCGTGGTAGCATCCTCCTATAATCCCAGCTACTCGGGAGGCTGAGGCAGGAGAATTGCTTGAACCTGGGCGGCAGAGGTTGCAGTGAGCTGAGAGCGCACCACTGCACTCCAGTCTGGGCGACAGAGCGAGACTCAATCATTTAAAAAAAAAAATTAAAATTAAATAAAATAGTGTTCACAGTTTAGAAAACAATTTTTACTTGTTTAATCAATGTTTAATAAAATTCCCAAAACATTTTCCCTATTGAAGTGTCTAGTAATGAAAAGACTTATTCAGCTTCACCTCTTTATTTTCTAAGGCAAGCACTTTTATTCTGTTCCCTAAATGAAGGCCAAAATGAAGATTTCAAATATGACAATGAGACAACAATAACTGTTTGCCACCCAATCGCAGCAGGACTGAACTGATGCAAACATGAATCTGCATCCTAAAATTCAATGAATACTAAATCAGCTACTTACTGCCTGAGCCTCCTCATCCTCAAACTTGAGAAGCTCCAAGGTACAATCTTCTTCCAGAGGGCGGTCCAGGTCCCACACAACATTATTTACTTTAGCAATAACGGTGTTGTCGGCCAGGCCTTGACTTAAAAGAAAAAAAATGTCCATACATATATAAGAACACAAGAATCTAATTTGAAAACAGGAAAATAAACACTATTTTTATTATGTACTGATTCTTTTATTGATGTATCTCTATTTTTTCTGAAATATAACAATAAAAACAACAAACTCCAAAAATGTACCTAAGAATGTAACTGGAAGATCCTGAAAATGCAGAACATTATCATTTGACAGTGAATGCCTCCTGTTTAAGCAGATATGGCAACTCTGATAAATAAGCACGATCAATTGCCAATGGTTTGATTAATCTTAATTTCTCCAATAAATAAGTTTTTTTTTTTTTTTAAATTGTTTAGAGACAGGGTCTTACTATGTTTCCCAGGCTGGCCTCCTGGCCTCAAGCAATCCTCCAACATCAGCCTCCAGAGTAGCTGGGACAACTGGCACAAGTCACCACACCCAGCTTTCTCTTAATACACCCACCTTTCTCTTTCTACAAAGGTAAGCTATTTAGACTCCAAAGGTGGGGGGGGCGGGGGAAAGGCCTACTAAATAACTTCTCTGTTCCTCTTCTTGCTTAAAATGTACACCGGTTCCTTACTTTGACAGACAATGCTAACCTCAGAATAAATTCTGCAAATGCCTAAGATGATAATATTTATAATACAGAGGTAAAATGAAAGACTATTTAATAAAACTTTTCATAATGTGAGTAAAAATATTACACACCCAATATACAATATCAAACATAAAGTATCAAATGATGAAACATCAGAGCACACAGAGTGTAAAAGCCACAGGAGTTCTGAGGAGGCAAAGCAGCACAGGACAGAGTCATCTGGAAAGGCTTTGAGGATAAAGCACTCACAGGAAGAAAGCTGGGGGGCCACGGCATTCCAGATGAGGGAATGGCCACAGACACAAGCAAAGGTGCAAGTGAAGAAAGATTTATGCAGGAAGCTGTGTGACTAGAGCAGAGTTGAGTAAGGTGAGCCAGATTATACATCTAAATGCACAGCTAGAGAAATAATAGTCTATAACAGCCTGGACATCTCAACGAAGGTAAGCAACATTCTATGCTGTGAAGAAAAAGTATACACCTTTTACACTGTAAATCTCAAAGAAACCTACCACTAGAAGGCTTTAAGCTAGCTGGGCTTGCTGTGTTGGTGGTTCTCTATGTGTAAAGGTTTACAACCAATTGTACACAACTTCTCCCATGTAAGGATCAAGAAAGAAGAACCAAACAGAAGGTAAACAACAAACTCCTTTCTATTTTCAATGCTCCTACTAACTTTACCATGGGTTATAGACAATGTTTTCTTTCCTCCTGAGATCAGATGGAGCCAGTAACATAAATACATGCATTTCACAAAACATAACATGAATTTGGCAGACAGAAATATATTTCATCATATTGGTATAAAATAGTTTTCAGGAGATTAAAGAACTGATAAAAAGGTTACTCATATTCTCTAGATTCTTTGGGAAGAACATGACTTATATCTTACGATCCAAAATGGAGCCCCAAGATTCTAAGAATAGAGTTACTTTGAAAATGTAGATTACACATGGGGCCATACTGGATCATGTCAATTTTTCAAAGAAGGGTAAAATAATCTGTAAGATTTGCAACAAAATGGCCGGGTGCGGTGGCTCATGCCTGTAATCCCAGCAATTTGCGAGGCCAAGGCGGGCAGATCACGAGGTCAGGAGATTGAGACCATCCTGGGTCAGGCGAAACCCCGTCTCTACTAAAAATACAAAAAATTAGCCGGGCGTGGTGGCAGGTGCCTGCAGTCCAAGTTACTTGGGAGGCTGAGGCAGGAGAATGGCATGAACCCAGGAGACGGAGCTTGCAGTGAGCCGAGATTGTGCCACTGCACTCCGGCCTGGGAGACAGAGCAAGATTCCGTCTCAAAAAAAAAAAAAAAAAGATTTATAAAAAAACAAAACTTCAAAGAAAAACCTTTTGACACAAATGGAACATGTCTTTTTTGTCCTTCCCTTTCATATTCACCACTAATTATCTGAATCTTTAAATAGCCTGTTATCAATGTTATAATTTTTCACAGAACAAAAAGTTATTCTAGACTTTTGTAAAAATTTCCTAAGGTATTCTCAGTGCAGATCAGTGACAACTCCAGAGCTAAAGCCCATCAATGTTTTATGTAATTCAACCTTCTTTTCTTTCCGTCCACGACGGAGTCTCGCTCTGTCACCAAGGCTGGAGTACAGTGGCTTAATCTCCACTCACTGCAACCTCCACCTCCCCGGTTCAAGCTATCCTCCCACCTCAGCCTCCAAGTAGTTGGAACTACAGGTGTGTGCCACCACGCCTGGCTAATTTTTGTATTTTTAGTAGAGACAGGGTTTCACCATGTTGGCCAGGCTGGTCTTGAACTCCCGACCTCAGGTGATCTGCCTGCCTTGGCCTCCCAAAGTGCTGGGATTACAGCTGTGAGCCAATGTGCCCAGCTATGTAATTCAACTTAGAATTTTATAGTTCTTGAAAAATATTTTTCAACTGAAGACTTGATAAATTACAACATAATCTAGATAAACGTTGTAGAAGGTAGGGGAAAAGGTTCCCAGACTAACAGAAGCCCAAATTTTAATGACACAGCTACAATCTCATTGTGTGACAACAGAAGAATCTTTTAATCAACCTGACCTTCCAAATTATCTCTAAAATGAAAGGTTTAACTGATACTTGAAGGTCTATCCAGTTCTCTGTGCTCTCACATAGAAACTTGCATGGTATCACAATTGTTTACTTCCTTTGGAGTATGGTAGAAGTACTTGTAGGTAGAAGCCCTTCTCAAATGAATGGAAATACTCTGTTCACTTTGTAAAAAGTACTAACCAATGTCTGTGGTACAGTAGAGGCTCATGGCTCATAGGCCTAACTGGTTCTGCTTCTACTAGTTGTATAATAGGCTTACCAAGAATCAGCCACGCTGGTTCCCCAAACTGTTTTTGTGCTTGTTCTTTTACGTGTTTGGTTCAACAATACAAAACTGACGACAATCAACCATATGATAATTCATGTGGTGAGATCAAAGGGTTCATTTCAATACATAACAATTATAAATAAACTTAAAAATACATAATTATAAAATAATACAATGAGGGAATTATGGTTTCTATGAAAACCAAGTTGAATGTTTGAAAAGGCTTGATAAATCCAAGTCACACACACAAAAATATTGTCAAGTTAGGTGTGACTCTACAACTACATGAAAATCTGCAAGGATTCTGCGCTCAGACCACTTCTCAAATGTGTTAAGATAATGTAAGAACTCTAATTAGCACTCGCTATCCCCCAAAGCTTTGCCATACATATATATATTCACTGTTTTACATATGTATATAAAGTTAGCAAATACATATACAGTCACATATTTAAAGTTGAAGTGTTTAAGACCAAGATTGGCAAGCTTTTTCTGTAAAAGGCCACACAAATATTTTACACTTTGCAGGCCAAACATGGTTTCTGCTGCATATTCTTTTTAGTTGTTTTATTTTTTCCAACTATTAAAACATGTAAGAATCATTTTTATTTTTGGCTTTTAGGACGTACACAAACAGGTTATGACCATAGTTTCCCAATATCTGGCTTAAGACATATATATATATATATATATATATATATATATATATATGTTTTACCAATTATTATTTTGATAAACTGACCAATTACTGATCCCAATCATATCAGATTAAGAAAACTTCTCTCCTATTACAAAACATTCATCTAATTCTCAGTTAATTGAAATAACTTCTTCCCACCCCAATAAAAGTTTTAAGACTAGGAATAGTCCTTCGTTGAATTTATAAAAACAGCACACTTTTTTCATGTGTCATATAAAGTTTCTTAACCTTTCCATGTCAGATTATCTAGCTCATTTTTAACTTCAAAACCAAGGCATTTAAGTCAAAATAGGTAAACACTGTTTACTCGGTTTTGTAACATTTATAATCATAGTAAGACTAAAAATATATAAAGCCCCGTAAGACCAAAGTGAACTCTTTCAGAAATTAACTTTCAATTTTGACTACATAGCTCTGTATCATTTTGATTTTTAAAAAATCCCAAGTAGGCCAAATTAAACAGATTAAAAACACTGAATAGCAACATAAAAATATTATAAGAATAAAACATGGCAGGATAATAAAATGAAGTTTAGTTAGGCCACAAACTATAGAATGTCATGATGGGTGTAGCTTATACCTAATTCCACAGGCAATTTGATATGGTGTAGTTTTCCAAGATTCCGCATCAACCTGTTTACCATCAGGCAAAGTGACTTTAATTGGCTTGCTATCTTTTTCTGCTTTTTCTGCCAGAAGGGAATCATGTTCTGCTTTTAGTATATTATACATCTCAAGACGTGTGTAAATATATTCAGGCCAAGGATTCAACTGTAAGACAACAAATCAGGAAATAAACAATCAGTAAATATTGCTTTCCTATTTAGAAATGGGAAAGAAATAGTAAAAACAATACAGAAACCCACGACTATTGATTCAATGTAGTAAATAAACACACTGCCAAAATCACCGGCATTACCTCAATTTGTTCCTAAATGAAGGTAAAAGAAGGAATTAAATGCCCTATTCTTGTTCTTTTTTGTTTTTTTTGTTTTTTTCAGACAGTCTCGATCTTGTCCCCCAGGCTGGAATGCAATGGCGTGATCTTGGCTCACTGCAACTTCCGCCTCCTGGGTTCAAGCGATTCTCCTGCCTCAGCCTCCCGAGTAGCTGGAATTATAGGAGTAGCTGGGATTATAGGAGTGCACTACCACGCCCAGCTAATTTTTGTATTTTTAGTAGAGATGGGGTTTCACCATGTTGGCCAGGCTGGTCTCGAACTCGTGACCTCAGGTGATCTGCCCGCCTCGGCCTCCCAAAGTGCTCGGATTACAGGCGTGAGCCGCCATGCCAGCCTAAATGCCCTAGTGTTATGCTGAATTGACAATTACCATTTTGCTATTATTTTACAGCAAGTGGTCTTTTCTCTTTTAAGATGCCTTCTTAAGATCTTTTCTAACAAAATTATTTTACAAATAGAGCTATAAACAATACTGGAAATAAAAACAATAAACTGGCTTTTCCATTTTGTTTCAATCATATCCAGGTGATGGTCTGTGTGGCCGGTCGGCCTATATGTCCACTCACAACCAATCACAAATGTATTTGACTTAAGGTCTCCCCTTCAAGGAAAGTATTTACTGAATTCAAAGATGCCAAGATCACCCTGAAATATGTAATTAGCAAATATAATAAAACAGCATACTACTACTTTCTATAGTAGATAAAATTAACAAAAATATTTTATATACAACATCAATTTAGGTTTCTAAAAGTTTGGTAAAGAAAAAAAAAGAGACAGCAATCAAAGAGCTGACTTCCTCTACTGTCAGAGACTCTATAATTTATGGAACATTTCAAAAAGGCAATGAATCTGTGGTAACAAAACAGTCGAACTAACATCTACAGCATTTATCATCTTCAAATTACAAGAACATTAACACTGCATACAAAAGTGAAGAGGAGATTGCTTATTTTTGCCATGACTTTCTATCTTCAAATGAATTTCAATTTTTCAAATATAAAATGACTCACTACAATACAGATTTTAACATTTGTTCAATGTTGATAATGCTATCAAAACATCTCCATATATGTCAACATACAATTTGAAAGGAGTACAAGCTAATATCTAATCCTTAAGAAAATGACCAGGCTCATTCCTGTAATCCCAGCACTTAGGGAGGCCAAGGCAGATGGATCACTTGAGGCCAGGAATTTGAGACCACCCTGGCCAACATGGTGAAATCCTATCTCTACTAAAAATACAAAAATTAGCCAGGTGTGGTGGCGCAACCTGTAGTCCCAGCTACTTGTGGGGCTGAGGCACAAGAATCACTTGAACCTGGGAGGTGGAGGTTGCAGTGAGCCAAGATCGGGCCACTGCACTCCAGCCTGGGCAACAGAGTGAGACCCTGTCTCAAACAAAATGAAACAAAACTGACTGGAGATAATAGAAAATAATATCAAATGAAAAAGATTCATTGTCTGCCCAGTAATTCCTTCCTTCCCTCCTTCTTTCCATTCTTTAATGACAGGGTTTCACTATGTTGCCTAGGCTGGCTGGAGTGCAGTGACAATTCACAGGCACATTCACAGCACATTTCGGCCCCAAACTCGTGCGCTCCAGTGATCCTCCCACTCAGTCTCGAGTGGTTGGCTCCCACCACTGTACCAGTCCCTAATATCCTTGTAATTCCCACCCACAGGGGTCCCTCCCTTTCTTTAGTCATTCAGTTGTTCTTTGGGAGCTTTTCATCAAATTGCCACAACGGTCCATAATCTTCAATGGTGAAGAATCCATGAACTAACTAAAAGCTCAGAGCCTGTCATTCTATAACCATAATCTGAACCCCTCAGACGAATGCACAGTACCTGCTTCCATCCACTCTAAAGCATCATTATACACCTCCCCACCAGCACTACCCTCTGTATCTTAACTGTGGTTTATCATCATAGCCACTTGGCATGTCCCAATTAGAATTTTGTGTCAAAATTTCTTCAACATTCATTCAGCAGATACCCTCTGTGTCAGGCTCTGTGACTGCAGAGATGAATAAAACCTGCATGTTGCCCTTGGAGGGGAAGGCCAAGGTCTTGGACAGTTCACTGTACACTCTTTTTTTCCAGACCAATCGTTAAACATAAATAATCACATGTCCCACTTAAAATTCTCTGTTCAGAAGAGTCTTCTAATTATACTCTTTGTCTTATTTCCAGGTCAATTCTCAAGCTGTGATGGAATAGCATGTATGTTTGTATTGAAAGTATAAAAAATAAATTAGGGAACATACGCATTTTTCCATTTGCTTGCAAATTTTTAAATTCACAATCAACAATTTTCTTCACAATTACAGTGGGGTATAATGGTTGGAAGACTGATCAACTGATCAACCGTAAGAGAAATGGTTAGGTAGGGTTCCAAGCAACACTACACTTGATCATCTATAAACTTACCCTAAAGTAAATGACGGCACTATACATTTAGTAATTGCAGCGTTTGTAAAAGTGGCTCTTCAAAGCCAGCTTATTGTGCTGCTTCGAAAAAGGCTGTTCCTTTGTGCTTCTTCCTTCTGGTAGCTTTCTAAAGAGTCTCCAATAAAACAGCTCTAATGACTAAAGCAAAAAGTGAAGCACAGTTCACAGCAGTAAAAATATAGTAGAAAGACAAGCTTAACTGCCTCTAAAAGCAAAATACTCAGGAACCAGGTTGATTTAAGGTTGGCTTTTGATATGCCAGTTCCTTTCAGTGTGAGCCTGGGGAAGGGAAAGCATTTTCTCCAGACTTGAGAGGCCTTAAGGGGAATCTGTCCTGGCTTAGAAGCCAACCCTAGGGCAGGTCCAGATACAAAGGGCAAGGAGGCGGTCACAAAACTGGCTTTCTTTGGTTTTTGTTGTATTCAGTGTAAGCCCAAACACCAAGCCTCTATTCCTTAACATCTCATTTAATGAAATAATCAGAGAGCTAGCATCACGTCTGGCAACTGAATAATTACCAGTCTCCTCTTCAACTTTTGTTCTCTGATGTTTATATTCAACCCCACAATCAGATCACCTTATACAATCATACGCCAGTTGCTTCCTTTTACAGTAACAAAAGACTGAAAGTCTTTTTTCCCCTCTCAGATTATCCTTTCCTAATTCTTCTTCCTGATTTTTCCAACCAGTACCATCTTATAACACCATGTAAACCATTAGAATCCTTACACATTCAGAAAGTCTCAGAAAGTTCCCTGTGATTTGCCAACCTTTGAAAACAGAGCCCTCTGCGATAACTTTTACCTCAGCTCGACCTCCATCTCCAGATCCTTCTTTGTTCTTCTTTTTGCCTCCTTCCTTTCGCTTCTCTTCACCAGCATCAATCTAAATAAGCAAAATACGTTTTATATTTTAATCTAATGTGACACCTCCACCCTGCGATGCCCCAGCAAAAGTGTTGAGAATGTTATTTTAGTATTTGTTATTGAATTTTTAAAAAATGGAAATCTGATATTGAAAGACTGAACAATTTCATCACTGGCAAAGACAGGTTAACAACTACAATAAAGACGAGTCTTCAAAAAGTAAGGAGTTACTAACGATGTTTAACTCCTCAAATTTCATTTGTTTTATTTTAACTATTCCCGTGACTCTCGCTTCAGGTTTACTTGGACCACATACCAAACATATGGCCACAGGGAAGCATGCAGTTGACTCAGTAAGCATATTTCCAGGAAAAACAAACAAACAAACAAACTGAATACAAAGTGTGCCCATGAATTCCACCAGTGTTACCAAAAGCCATGGAAGAAGCAAATATAAGGCCCAATCCCTACCATGTGTAAACCTAGTCTCTCCAGGGAAAGTAAGGCATACATGTGTGAGAAACTCCCGGAGAAGAAAAGAACAGTAGTAGCGCTATGATTAGACGTCAAATAAGCTAGGACTAGTGTAAGAACTTCAAAGGATGGAATGCATTTCAACAGGTGGATTTTGAGAATAGAGGCAATGTGTCCTACGTGTACACATAAACTTGTTGTCAGAAACGTTAAAATTTAAAGAGAGAAAAAATGACTAAACCAGGCTGATTAATGAAGGATTGTTTTAGAAAGTAATACAAGGTAAGACAGACTAATGCTCACAGAAGAACTAAAAGTTACCGTAAGGAATACAGGCTTCAATTAGAAGTAAGTGAAGTCATACAAAGTTTTAAAGTAATAAATCCTGTGCCAGGAATGTAAAGGGGGGGATTTTATTTAGTTTGCATGTTTGTGACCTTTAGTTTTTTAAAGTTTTAAGATACAATCCATATATCATACAAGTTACCCATATAAAGTATACAATTCAATGGTTTTTAGGTATTCACTGTTGTGCAACTATCGCTACCATCAATTTTAGAGTATTTTCATCACCCTCAAAAAGAAACCTTGTACCCATTAGCAGTTCACTCCCTTTTGCCTTCAACTCCAGACCCTGGCAACCATTAATCTAGTTTCTGTTTCTATGGATTTGCCTATTCTAGGAATTTCATATAAATAGAATCACACATTACATGGTCTTTTGTGACAGGCTTCTTTTAGTTAGCATAATAATTTCAAGATCATCAGGTTGTAACATGTATCAATATTTGTCATTGTACCTTTTTATTATCAAATAATATTCCATTGCTTACTTATCCATTTATCAGTTGATGGACATTTTGGTCACTGTCTTTTAAATCCTATAAAACGTGTTACTTGTATAATTTTAAAAAAAACTAGTTTTAAAATATGACTCCTAATTTCATGCTGAGCTAAAATTCCCCCCTACTCCACGAGTCTGGATTTAATAAACTTTAAAGGTTCATTTAGATTCAACAGATCCTTTGTCATACAGTAGAAGTGAGGTAACTAATCAAGTATACTGGGTAAAAAGAAAACTGCAGGTGTGTGCAGGTTTAAAGTTGAAAGATAATAAAATAAGTTTTATATTTCTGATAAGATTATTTGGGTTTTGATCATTTGCCAAACGAACAGGGGTAGTGACAGAGAGAGAGAGAGACAATCACCACAAAGTTTTTCTGGTTCTAAATACGGCTCCGTTTTATAAACAAGAACATTGGCTCAAAGAAGCAACTTGCCCACTTGTATCATTAAGTAGTAGAGGTGGGACATTACGACAGGTCTCTCTGGAACCCTGAGGCCTATTACCTCTTTTCTACAACACTGGGAAGAGAGTGGGCAACTGTTCTCTATTTCCCTGAGTATATATGTTATGTACATCTACATACAAGTAATCTAAAATTTCAACCCAAAAATTGGGAAGCAGAACTGGATTGTTAACAGAAGCTACAGAATTACCTTTCTCAGGAATGATCTGTCCCTGACTCACTCAGAACAGCACAGGGGTTATTAGTATTTGCTATAGGATACTGGGTTTGAGAAAGGGGAAAAAAAGGGATACTTGGTTTGAGCAAGTTACTGTTCCTATGCCTGCTTTCTCATCTGTATAATGGAGATAATAACAGAACCCAGTTCATAGCGTTATTAAGAAGACTGAATGAGGCCGGGAGCGGTGGCTTAGGCCTGTAATCCCAGCACTTTGGGAAGTCGAAGCGGGCGGATCACGAGGTCAGGAGATCGAGACCATCCTGGCTAACACGGTGAAACCCCATCTCTACTAAAAATACAAAAAAAAAAAAAAAAGTTAGCAGGGCGTGGTGGCGGGCTTCTGTAGTCCCAGCTACTCGGGAGGCTGAGGCAGTAGAATCGCGTGAACCCGGGAGGCGGAGCTTGCAGTGAGCCGACATCGCGCGACTGCACTCCAGCCTGGGCGACAGGGAAAAAACAAAACAAAACAAAACAAAAAACAAAAGACTGGGCCGGGCGCGGTGGCTCAAGCCTGTAATCCCAGCACTTAGGGAGGCCGAGACGGGCGGATCACAAGGTCAGGAGATCGAGACCATCCTGGCGAACACAGTGAAACCCTGTCTCTACTAAAAAAAAAAATACAAAAAACTAGCCGGGCGAGGTGGCGGGCGCCTGTAGTCCCAGCTACTTGGGAGGCTGAGGCAGGAGAATGGCGTAAACCCGGGAGGCAGAGCTTGCAGTGAGCTGAGATCCAGCCACAGCACTCCAGCCTGGGTGACAGAGCAAGACTCCGTCTCAACAAAAATAAATAAATAAATAAATAAACACAAAAGACTGAATGAGTTAATTCATGGAATACATTAATACAGTGCCAAACCCGTACTTAGTACTCAAAATAAATATTAACCGTTGTATAACTATTACAGGAAGGAAAAAGTACATATTTGTTAACCATACATATTAAGTCCAATTAAGAATAGTACAGGAGAATATTTATGGACATGGAAAGTTGTTGACCACATCCTATTAAGCAAAAAAAAAAAGTTACAAAATAGTAAAAATACCATTTTATGTGAACAAAAAACTATGTATTGTCACCATTTATCATCTAGAACTAAATTTACTTGGTTTAGAATGTGCTCCATTCAATTCCGAGTAGACAACCAAGAAAAAGTTTTGGCTTTTAAGTGACTTGTCCTGTCACAGACTTGGGATAGAGGCTCCCTTAGCTCAAGATGCCACCACTTCTCACTTGGACTATTACAACAGTTTTCTGCATGTGGCCTCACCTTCTACCCCAATGCCAGCGTGACTTTTACAAATTCAATCTTCCTGCTTAAGATCCTTCATGTATAGAATACAAGTAGCAAACATCCTTGTTGCCTAAGATCTTTCTGACTGCTGTTCCTTTAACCCTTCTGGCATATCTCTTGCAAACAACCCGAAAGACAATTCACCTGCGTGCCCCTTTTCACTGCCTTCCCTACCTTTATGTGGGAAGCCCCGTTCTGCCTGTTTTCCTGGTGAAATCATTCTTCCAAACTCAATTCGAAAGAGCCCTCCTAAGCTTCCTCTTCTGTAATACCACACAGCTGATCACAAAGCACTAGGGCTGTTTTCCTGTCTCTTACACATCAGCCTGTGAGGCCCTCAAAGTCGGGGAACTGGGCCCTACTCATCTTCCCACCTCCACCGCCCAGCTCAGTGCCGGGCAAAATGTATACTTAACCACCCAAACTTGGACAAGTTGGGTCAGATCTCAGGGACTCGGTTTTCCTTTCCTCAAAATGGAGCTCTTTACCCCCGCAGGATCTTAGGAGATTGATTAAATAAGGCTCTGCAATATGTTTCCCGCTTACAGTAAGCCACAAACCCGAGTTTGGAAGCCCCAAGCCTAAGATTCTGATTCTGTCTCCGCGTCTAACTACTGTAGATGTGAGGCTCTGAACAAGTCGCTCAATCAAGGTCTGTTTCCTCATCTGTAAAGAGAATGGACCCAGAGATGAACTGCAAGGCCCCACCCTAATTTATGAATGGACGGTTCCCAAAGGGGGTTCCGACTTTCCATGAGTCCCACCGTCCCCCACTCCTCCGACCCACGCGGTACCGGCCGCTTCCTGCTTCCTGACCCCTGCCCCCGCCGCGAGGGAGCGTCTGCACCCACGAGAGTCCCAGGCTGGTCTCTGGGTCCCACCAGGTCTGCTCACCGGCTTCTCCTCGCCTCCCATCTTCCCTGAAGGACTGCTGGCTTTCTCCTCAAACATTGGCGAACGACGAAGCGATCAGAGAACCCGAAAGCGACGGCCTAGAGAAGAGCAAAGAGGCGGGTCGCAGGTGGGCTAGGGCCCGGGAACACTGCGCTTGCGCCACTTGGCCTCCGCTGGACCAGCTGATGCAATCGACAGGCGCCCTAACCCCGCCCCCAACTTGCGGCGGAAGGGGCAGCCAATGGATAACGGGGGAAGACGGGCCCTGCCTCCTCTAAGCCAATGGAAAATCTTTTTGGATGACAGAGCCCTTCTAGGAAATCAGGTTGTGGCGGGTGAGGAGGAGCTACAGGCCTACTCTCCGCAGACCTTGGTCTGGACGCTTTTCAGAGTCAAGTCCCCAATGCGCTTGCGCCTTCCTCCCTTCTGCCTTTATGTCGCACAATCATGGACCTTCCCGGACACCGTAGATAATAAGTCGGTCTTGGCATAAACTTCGGCGACCTGGATACCATCTTCGACACTGGAACAAATCCAGGGATGGAGTCCGGGATTTCCTGCGGCTTCGGCGCTTTCTGACCTGGCGCGACTGCCGACTTCTCGGCACTACTCAGGTCTCTGGCTCCCTGTCTGTAGTGGTGAATCGAGCCTTCCTCATGGCAGTCCAGGCTCCCCAAGCCCCGAGTCCTAGTGATCGGGGACAAACCCTTCCTTGAACATTCTTCACTGCTAGCCGCTGCTGATCTGTACTGCCTGGGGGAGCATTTCTATAGCGCCCGCAAAAATACAATAAAGCTCACCCAAGGAAATAACCATGGATTTTCACTCCTAGGTGTGTTTGGAATCGACTGGGCTTTTAAAATTTATGTTAGTAGGCAATTTAAAACAATTACTTATTTGAAATCGGAAGCGCAATGGGCACAACTTCACGTACGTACTCCATCACCACGTTTTGTGGATTTTTCTTTTTAAACATCAGTTCTGTTCTCTACAACTCTCTGCCTTCAGGGAACAAGGGGTTAAGAGAAGCTGCTAGAAACAATGTTACATAGCAGTTAAATATAATTGTTAACCTATAATTTTCTGCATCTAGCAAACTCAGTAATCTTGAGCTCTCTGGTTTTCATTATACTTAGTTAAAATTAAGATACAATTCAGGCAAACGTGTCTAATGAGCATAATTAAATTGTTTTACATTAGAAGGTAAGAGTAGATCCCGTTGATTCTCATTCTAATTTAAATGTGGGGAGTTAGTTTGGTCTATCTAAGCCTATTAAAATTGAATATAACTCCTGGAACATCAAGCACTACTAATAATCTAGTCTCATTATAAACTTTCTTCTAGGTCTAGTTAGTAAATGGGTTTTGACTTCTTTTATAATACAAATTAAGAGGTAATTTTGCAAACCTTGATTGAAAAATTAAGCAAGTTTTGTCTCAACACTCGACATTTATTGAACATCTGCTGTGTGATAGGTTTACATCTTCCAGGTGCTGGCAAAAATACACAAAGTGTGCTTTCGTGAAGTTTTCAATCAAGGAGATAAAATACATTTTTTAAAAACTGTAAACTTGCAAGGTAGGAGGAGAGCTTAAGCTCAGGAGTTCAAGACGAGTCTGGGTAACATAGTGAGACCTCGTGTCTACTAAAAATTAAAAATATATATATATTAGCCAAGCATGGTGATGTGCACCTGTAGTCCCAGCTATTCAGGAGGCTGAGGCGAGGGGATCACTTGAACCTGGGAGATCAAGGCTGCAGTGAGCTATGATCACATCACTGTACTCCAGCCTGGGCAACACAGCAAGACTGTCTCAAATAAATAGATAAAATAAAAAATTAAAAAATTAACTGGGTTTGGTGGTGTGCGCCTGCAGTCCTACCTACTTGGGACGCTGAGGCAGAAGGACTGCTTGAGTCCAGGAGTTTGAGTCTGTAGTGAGCTATGATTTTGCCACTGCACTCCAGCCTGGGTAATGGAGTAAGACCTCATCTCAAAGAAAAAAGAAAAGAAAACGACTGTTACTGAAATCAAAGTGTCAGCGACAGAGCAGTAAAAAAATATAGATAGATAGATAGATAGATAGATATAGATAGATAGATATAGTAAACTTGCTTAGCTTTAAATACACACATAGTGAAAGAACAAGTTGAACCAGTAAGTTCTACCAAGAACTACATGAAACTACCAGCACATACTATTGTAAGTGCCAAGAGGAGAGGTCCCCTTAGCCCTCTGAAGTTTGGCTGAAAATCACTGACATGAGGTAAATTAATAGAAAAAACATACAAATTTACTTAACATGTATACACAGGAAGAATCACAGCATGATTACCCACCCCTCAGAGGGCTTCAGAAACTTGTGTATACAATCCCAGAGACACAGGTTATGGTAGGGAGAAGAGGAATTCTGTTGAGAGGATTACAAGGGAGAAACAGTCCTCATTTAAGGATGGCAAAAAGAAAAAGCAGAAGGCATTTCTAACAGGTTGACTGTGGTGCAGGAACATAGGGGAAGCTGTAACGGAGTTGCTAGTGTGGGAATCTCGCAGAGGTATCCCTGTAGCACAGTGCCCTCTGGTGTTAGGAAGATTTTTTTTACTATGTGTGTATTTAGAGCTAAGCAAAGATCGCGGGAGCCTCCAGCACATCTCAGACCTAAAGCACAAAACACGGTTATGCAACTTTTGTGTATTTGCCAACAAAAAAGAAACTTCTGATTTATTCTCAGTGTTATAATTTATGCCCACTGTATTAGCCCATTCTCTGCTATGAAGAAATACCTGAGACTGGGTAATTTATAAAGGAAAGATGTTGAATTGACTCACAGTTCTGCGTGGCTGGGGAAGCATCAGGAAATTTACAATCATGGCAGAAGGTACCTCTTCACAGAGCAGCAGGAGAGAGAATGAGTACCAGCAGGGAAAATGCCAGACACTTATAAAACCATTAGATCTCATGAGACTCACTCATTATCACGAGAACAACATGGGGAAACTGCCCCATGATCCAATTACCTCCACCTAGTCCCACCCTTGACACATGGGGATTATGGTGATTACAATTCAAGATGAGATTTTTGGTAGGGACACAGCCAAACTGTATCACCCACTACCCTACATACTTTAAAATTTTTTTACATTAATTTATTATTTTTATTTTTATTTGTAGAGACAGGGTCTTGCTTTGTTGCCTAGCTGGTCTCAAACTCCTGGCCTCAAATGATCCTCTCACCTTGGCCTCTCGTGCTGGGATTACAGGTGTGAACCACCACACTGGCCTCCTACATACTTTTTAGGAAAGTGGTTGTCAATAGCTCTGCCGTGAGAGGTGAATCAAAATTCTGTGATATGCTACAAATAGTGTTACAAATAGTAGAAGTTTGTACATAACCATCTCTCTATCGGTTCAGGGGCAAAACAGTCTTCTTCATTATCAATCCTTAATTACTCATTTGAATAATTTTTGCTTCTGGTTCCTACAACCTTGGGCTGGATGGTTTTGAAGAAACTAGTCCCTGAGGGAAGAATGCTTCTATCAGGGAGCACAGTCACGGTTCTGATCAGTTGGCCTAAGAGTACACCCTATGTGGGGCTTCACGTACTGCTGCACTCACAGGCAGAATTGGGGGTTGTTTTTCTGGCCAAAGTGATTGATCCTCATTACAAAGGGACAAATGGGTTTCTTCTACCTAAAGGACAACTTTGTCAAGAAGGAGATTTTTTTTTGTAGAGACAGGGTCTTGCTTTGTTGCCCAGCTGGTCTCAAACTCCTGGCCTCAAATGATCCTGTCACCTTGGCCTCTCGTGCTGGGATTACAGGTGTAAACCACCACACTGGCCTTGTACATACTTTTTAGGAAAGTGGTTGTCAATAACTCTGCCATGATTGAGATTCACTGAGACATTTTTTAGTACTTCCTTGTCTAATGTTCTGCTGTTGGAAACTCTGGGAACCCAACAAAGACAAGGAAGGAAGGAAGGTTTGGGCTATCCTTCTAGGTAAAGAACCCAGTCTAGCGAGGTCCTGACAAAGGTTAAGGGTAACTTGAATAGGTGCTGGGAGAACAGAGTTATGCAATGTTAGCTACATAATTTGAAGAACCTAATGCAAAATAAAAATGTAGGGCTCCTTGTTAATTTCAGTCTATTTACTAGGCACAGTGGAGCAGCAACCAAGTGCAGAGCGCTTCTAAGTATTGAGCCCTGTGTGACTGCCCAGGTTGTACATCCATGGAGCTGGTGCTAGTGCTATGATTGCTAAATTAGCCCTCATGACCAGAAAGAAGTATGGCCTGCAGAAGTTATGTTTTTTGTCACTTTTTCCACTCCCCCAACTTTTCCTTCTATATATATCATATATAAAGAGTACTAGAAGTGGCTAACTTTTTAGTTCTCATGAGGGAGTATGATTGAATCAAGATCACTCCATGATGATACACATTCTAAAGGGACTTCATATGTCCCTTGTGTTGGAGGCGCACACTTTTCATGTGGATGAAAAGCTATAGAGGATGTTGAAGGGGAAAAGGTGTGGCCTGTACCAATGTACTTCTGGGCCGTTGGCCTCCCGTTGCTTCCAGCAGGAGTTGGGAGGGAAGAAAACAAAATCAGGACATGTATACCCCTGGTCCTTCCCTGGGAGGAGGTTGCCTTGGGCTGTTGATGTTTCACAACCAAAGGTCACTGCTGATCTCATAGCAATCACTACACAACACTTCCCTTCTGGGTTCCAGCAAATGCAGGCTACCCTCACCCTGCCTGGCCTAGATGTGGTTACAGATTTCCCACAATTACTATTTGTAGGATCCTGACTCCCTATACTTCTCATCTCTTTTAAATAAACTCTCTTTAAATTACTCTAACTCAAGTGTGCCCTCTGTTCTCTGTTGGAACCCTGTGTGATATAATCATGTTCCTCAGCTATAAAATGGTGATAGAAGTAATAAACCTGATTCTAGAACTTGTTGGGAGGATAAAATGAAAGTACATGTATACAAAGTACTTTGCAAATTCTAAAGGGCTATAAAAGTTAATTATGTTTGGGGGAATGAATGCTCTAGCCAGTTACTCTCTCTGGTTTACTCTAGCTTTATTTGGAATCATTCTGAATAATATCCCTCAATTTGTTTTCATTTTTGTCATATCTCTTCCTTGCTGAGAGCTTTTGCTATGATTTAACTGTGTCCCCTAAAGTTCATATGTTAAAAACTGAATCCCCAATGCAACTGTTGGGACGTGGAGTCTAGTAAGAGGTGATTATGTCATGACAGCTCTGCCATCATGAATGGAGTAATGTCATTCTCTTGGGAGTGGGTTAGTTATTATGAGAGTGGGCATGCTATAAAAGTGAGTTTGGCCGCCTCTTG